TTTTTTTTTTTTCTGTTCAGGTAAAAAACTCTGCTCTGCACGGCTTCATCCGTTTGGCACAAACCTTCATAAATCGTTTTGTGGTAAAATTGGAAAATTAGAAACTTACAAAAGAGTAGACGACTGCGCTGTGGGGAATGTGTTACACAGTGCCTCCATTTGGTCACTTTTGTGCGAAAGACCAGAAGGGGAGCACATACATGTAACTCATCTGCGTATGCAGAGATGCACACACATGAGGGGACACATGTGTGTAGATATTCGTGTAGATCTTCATGAAGATATTTGGGCAGATCTTTGTTCAGCTATTTGTGCAGATATATTTTTTTTCGCTACAGGGTGATACATTTTTCACACTGATTTTGAGCAAGTCCCATTCATGTGCGGAACGCGAATGTGGAACGATACGCACATGTTCGTAATGTGAAAGAAGGGACGATCACTTGGCTGATTTACTCCTTCTGCTCACGTTTGAAGGGAGTACTCGGCCCCGGCGTCCAACTCTCTGTCTTTCAATTTTAGTCTCAACTCGTCCTGTATACTCCCTCTGGATAAGGCGATGTTGCTCGAGATGGCGCGCAGGTTCTGAGCGACCTGACCATCAGCATTATGCCAACCAGACGAAAACGAATCGTCCATCTTGATGGAATTCAAAATGTCGTTCATTTTTGGTAAGTATATATATTCAATACTTTTCCTGAGCGAGTTTTCGATACCTTCAATCATTTTTCCCATGTTGTGCATGTGGAAATATTTATCCTTCACCAAATTAACGTTGGACACCTTCTTGGGGGTTTCCAAAGCTTTGTTGATGGAGGCAGACAAGGTCATTTCGTTTTTTTTCTTAATGAAGAAATTTACAGTGGTGGAAATTTGGTAATGAACCGTTACATGAGTTATGCTTACTTGTATAAGGTGAGTGCCTTCCCATGTCAGACTTGTGCATGTGTCGTAATTTTCCTTTTTCTTGATTAAAAAGCACGCGACAAATCCTTCTTCGATTGGATTTGGCCACAAATATACGGAAGACAATCCACCATTGTAGTATGCTTTCCTGTACCGATCATACATTTCGTTGTACAACATTTCCAGCGTCCTTAACGATTCCGATGGGATGTATCCATTTGGGCAATGCTCAGGGTAGTACTTGTTACTGTAGGGAGATCTATATGAATCCTTTTCTTTATTGAACATATTCCCAAGGTAGTGTTTATTTTGTTCGCTATCGAATTTGATTTTTATTGGCCCTTCTTTGTTTATCAAAATGTTGTTCGTTAAGTTTTGGTCAACTTTGGATAACAGTTTGATCGTCTCCTCGAATAAGTGCGCCGGGAGAATGTTGCAAATGTGCAGGGCGGCCTCGATCTTCGCTTCCTCCATTTTGTGCCTTCTTCTGGTAGGGATGTGGAGCAGCGGATGGGTGACAGTATCGCAAGTGGTACGCCTTGCAGCGTAAAGGGGAAGGGGAGGGGCAGTCAGTGTTTGTTTCTCCTTGTGTCTACATATATAGGTGCACGAATACAGATATGTACACTTCTGTAGACACCTCCGTGGGCAACGATTCCCGTCCGGAAGGGTCCCGCAAAATGGGAAAATGACGCGGAAGCCACCCTGGTGCAGTTGGATCTATTTTGTCTCATCGCAGAATGTTTCGCGTTCTTTCGCCGCAAAGTGGTCAGGCCATTTGATCATCTGCTCATTTGGTCATGTGCTCATCTGCTCATCTGCTCATTTTTTCATTTCATCATTTCCTCATTTGACATTTTTGGAACAATGAAAACCGCCCTTCTCGCGCATGCCAAATGGTAAAACATAAACATTTAGGACAGGAAAATAAGATCACCCTTGTTCGCACAGCAATGCGAATGCGTAAAGTGTGCGAAGTGGTCAGACCAGTATCGTCCCTTCGCCATTGCTCCTTTTTTTTTTTTTTTTCATGTAGAAGGATGTACCCTTTGGAAAAGTTCAAACGGGGGAGAATAAAATAAATCAAATTGGCCCCACGTCGGGCGTGCGTAAAACTCACTTGGAGTGGCTAACAGGATTTCGTTTCACCAGCACAAGTGCGTTTATTTTTACAACTATGTTCGTATGGCAACAGAAATGCAGGAAAGAAAAAAAACTCGCAAGGATAGGTGAACTTAATAATTTTACTAAATGTTTCACACGGATTAGCTCCTCCGATTGGAGGAAGACAGCATAAGCTTCCCAGATTGGAAAAATGAACTGAACGAAAGATAACATTTTGGAACACGTCTCCTTCCGAAATGGGGCGAAAGGGCATCCCATATGATTTCCTGCTGTGTGTCTACCCCTTCATAGGAAATGCTCCACATATTTTTGCCTGACCATGCAGGTAAAAGTGGGTCTACATATTCCGCCCACGTGGGGGGGACGCAGCTTCCCCCTTTTGGGAACCCCCCAAAGAAGGAACACACATTTGGCTAAACACCAAATGGGGTACCCCAATGAGAATAAACGTGAGAAATAGGCCAAACGGGCGCGGTGACCTAGCCCTGTTAGGGGTGTGTAATATGTCGGAAGTCACCCATTCCACGTCCCAGAGCTGTTTTCCCAAATGGTGCACTTTGCCGATTGGGTAAAATTTGCCCCGTGTATGCCTTACGGTTTAGATATTTTTTTCTCCATTCAGTGCAAAGCAATTTGGCGGCATAACTTGGCGGCAACTATCCGGTGAGGAAGTTATTTCCCTCGCTTCCGTCCCTTTGAGAGGATTTTTTTTTTTTAAAATCATCGCATTCTTTTGTAAAATATATTTTTCTCCCCTTTGAAGAGTCCCTATAAAATAAATCCTCAAAAAGGTGTGGAGTTTTCGCGGGGGCACTTCGAGGGGCAAATCTACAAGGGGGTTCCCTGACTGAATTCGTGCGCCATATGCAACGTTGCGGAGTATGGGGAAAAAAAGTGCACCACGGGGGTATGGAAGTGCACCTAAAAAAAAATATACACGCACCTCCCATTTTTACAACGCATGGGACTAACAACCATAAAGGCTCACTTCGCTGATTCGCGCTGCTCTCTCGAACGTATGCACTGCTGCTTTACTTGTGCGACCTGGCAAGGCGACAGTACTGATGCGCAGCAGAAGGGGGCCTAAGGCGCATCCCTTGCGGAGTGATTCTTCCCTACCCCACAAAAAAAAAAAGAACCAATTTGTGAGGCGGCAAAAATAGGGAAAGAAAAAAAAAAAAGTTAACCGACAGGTAACTTCGAAACAGCGTAACGTAGAACAGAGTGTAAAGAAAGGACGAAAAAAAAAAGAAACAAGCAGAAAAAAACGGAAAAGAAGCAGCGCAAAGAATAGACCCAAAAATAACGCAGAAAATAACTTCCTCTGCAAACTCGCCATCGCTTAAGAGGCGTATGCAAAAAAATATAACCTTTTGCCTACGCAGCATATTACGCGCAACGGCAGTTTTTCTATGCTCAGGAAGAGTACCTGCGGCGGTATCTCTGTCGCCAGTTCCTGACGAAGGGGTTTGAAAGATTTTTTTCCCTTTGCCCGTGGCAAGTGACAAGGTTAGGAAAGCCATTGAAAGGGGATCTTCTTGAAAGGGGAACCACTTGAAAAGGGCTTACTCAACCGGGCACGGCGCTTCCCGCGGGCACATGTTTCCATCTAGTCGGGGGGCCCTGTAAAATATGTACGCCGCCGCTTCTGCCGCAGTCGTCGTTCCATTTTGGCTAGTCCCCTGAAAAAAAAAAATAGCACCAATTTGTGGCAGCAACTGCAACAGTGACAGCAACGGCGACAGCGACGCAACACTCGCGTTAACGGAGCAGAAAGAGTCGAAGAAGTAGCGACTAAACTCCTGACCGCTTAGCAACGACCAAAGGCGTAACCGCACAGCCGTAGCAGCCGACGCAACCATGGTGAAGGTCTCGGAGAGCGAACTGAGCGACAAGGCGCTGGAGGAATTTCTGTCGGACGACAGTGACGAGGGGAATGAGGAGCTGCTAAATAAGAAGTATACGGAGAAGGAATCACTAATCACGCTGGAAACCAAGTTCCCCAAAATAGTAACCATATTGGGGATTCCAAAGGTGGAGGAAGAGAAGCACAGCAGATTGGCGGAGGTGTTGAAAAAATTGTTCATAAGGCATCTGAATGCAAAAATAAGTGACTCCTCCTTGCTTAACATAAAAATAGACATGCCAGTGGACGAAGAGAAGAAGACCAAAGGAATCTGCTTCGTAACGTTTAACGACAGTTTCCAAGCAAACGAAGCGGTGAAGATTCTGAACAAGCTAAAGCTCGATGCGAAACATGTGCTTACAGCTTCCAAAATGGATGACATAGAAAATATCATAAATCGAGATGAACACGTGATGCCAATTAACGTCGTTGGATTTACGAGGGAAAAAATCCGATGGTGGTTATATGATGAAAGGTGCAGAGAACAGTTCATCGTGAGGTACGACTCTCATTTTGAAGTGCATTGGTTCGATCCTCTGGAAAAAGAACCACAGCTCATCTATACCACGTATAAAAAGAGTGCGCCATTTTCTAGTGTCCAGTGGAGTAACCAAGGGTCCTACTTAGTCAGTTTTCACAATCCAGGAATAGCCCTCTGGGGAGGAGACAATTTCGAGAAACTGATTCGAATGCAACATAAGGGTGTGAAAGAGATTAGCTTTTCTCCGAATGAGAACTATGTCCTGACATGGGATGGAACCCCTGCTTCGCTGAGAAATGAAAAATCAATATGTATCTGGAGAGTCATAACGGGGAAGTTGCTCCGTTCGTTTATAACGCCTGAATTTAGTGCAAGGGATAAAAGCTATAATTACTTTCTGTGGAGTCCTGATGATAAGTACATTGCTTGTATAGGGAAACAGAAAGAGGTATACGTATATGAATTGCCTAGCATGTTGCTGATGGAAGATCATGAGAAGAAAAGGACTCCTCTCAAATATAGCTTCGTTAAAGAGTTCGATTGGTCCCCTGTGGATAACATTGTCTCCATATGGATCCCAGGGAGCAACGTCACTCCAGGGACGTTAATCCTGGTTGATATACCATCAAGAAAGGAGTTGGTGTCGAGAAAAATCTACGACGTGGTGCATGCATCGATTCACTGGCAAAGTAAGGGAGATTACCTCTGTCTCAAAACGACCATCGAGAAGAAGATCAGCAAGAAGAGCAAGAAAGAATTCACTCAGCTTGAAATTTTCCGTATCCGAGAAAAGAACATCCCCGTTGACAATATCCAAATTGAGGGAATCAAGACGAAGCAGTTCCACTGGGAGGAGTCCAATAGCAATCGATTCGCTTTAATCGTTAGGGATGAAGCAACGAGCAGACAGCAAATCAGGTTCTACAAAATTGAGAACAAAGGAACAGCTAGGAATGCAAAATGGACAAGCACATTCGATATTAACAGCCAGATGAACTTTATGCGGTGGTCACCACAGGGGTCCTACTTCATCTTAGCTTCATTAGGATCGGAAGGTCTCCTCTACTTCTGCTGTTTCAATACCAATGACGAAGTGGAAGTCATACACAAAGATGAGCACCTCTTAGCCAACTCCGCCTCATGGAGCAACTGCGGAAGGTATCTCGTAACATCCGTATCCAGTTCAGCCAACGCAGTGGGTACCAGCTACAGAGAAGAAAACAGTGAGACGGGATTCTTCATATGGTCCTTCCAAGGCAGGTGCCTCATGACCATTAAGAAGCCATCCTTCTTTCAGTTCTTCTTTAGACCACATCCCAAATCTCTCTTCAGTGACAAGCAAAAACTCGATATCAAGAATAACCTAAAGGATTACTCCAAAAAGTTTGACGTCATGGATGAGAAGGTTAGGAACGCTAAGCGAAATCAACTCCTATCGGACCGAAAAACTGTCGAAGCGTCATTTAATCAGAGAATGGAGAAAGTCACTCAGCTTTTCCACTCCTTTAAGGAATATGAAGAATTCAAGAAAAACTGGGAGCAGTTCGAGAGCCAGTTCGAGTGGGAGGAGAAGACCGTCGTAATTGAGCATGTCCTCTCCGTCAAACAGGAAATATTCGCCTAAACGGGGTGATCACGGCTCCCCCCCGGCCCCCCTT